ATATCGTAATGTTCCGATATTAATTTAATGTACAAATAGGTTTCATATAAAAGAAAAAATAATTTCTTAGCAAAAATATTTGTATGCATATTTGTATGACAATCTCGGCGTTATTAAGAAGGTTCTCGTAGCATCTCTTCACTTGTCATATCATCGTGCCTGAGCGCGCAAAATGTCAGCTCTGTGATTAGCCAATTTTAATCGCTATTAATTTAAAAATTATTATAATCTCGACATTTTTGTATTAGGATTTTTGTCTTAGAATATTTCAAATAATCCGCACTTAAAAAGAAATCTGCGGGTTTTGGGACATCCTGTATGTTATTATCTATGACTATTTTTATAGTATTCATTACTGTTTTTATTACTATTTCTTATTACTTTGTAAAACTAATTGCAGGTATTTTTCCACAGTTTTCAAATTATGGTTGCCATAACTATTTCGTTTTCTCTCAGTATATAGTTGAAATACGTCATATTTTAAAGCAAGGAATAAAATTAATTATAATTAATCTTACTCATCGTCAGAAGAAAAGCTGTAAGATTTTAAAAATAGTTTGTTCTTTAAAGGTTAATTTTGAAGATTGCCTAGTAATATTTTGTGTTGATCCTTTTATTTCTCGGGCGATGACAGTCTTTTTCTCACGTATTTGCATCAATTTGATCGTTTTCACCACAACTTTCCACAAAGAATTTCATCCTCTCACCAATCTCTTTATCCTTTCGATTTCACAATCCCGGCGATGTTGAACTTCTCTTTAAAGCGATGAGAAAGCATTAAGAAATTATTGTTATTGTTATGTCTCATTCGTCGTCTATTCCACGAACTTTACGAATACTATTACATATATGACTATAAAAAAAACTTAATCTTATTTTCATTGTAAGAGATCTTATGCGAATAATTATTGAAAATTTACTTTGCTTTAAAAGACAGAATATAACAATGAAAAAGCGCATTGAAATTAACACAAACAAAACTTGTATTATTAAGGTTGCGTTCTGATATTCACTGTTAAAAATCTATAATGCACGTAACATACGCTATATATTTTCAGCACTGACTATGAATATTGCAAATTGGAAATATTGGATTATAGCTTAAATCATTGTCCTGCTCTACTACTTTCTCCATTAAAATCATTGAAAAATTGAGCAGAATGTTTATGCATATGTTCGTCATTCACAAAATTCTACAATGAGGAAGAAAATACGAATTTTGTGTTTAGGTCAAATTAAAGCGGAAATAGATACTCGAGAAAGACATAGTTTACCTGCTTTCGCACTCTCAAAAAAAATAATTTTTTTCTGATTATTCTTTCACTTGCAACATATAATTTTACTGATTTATTGCGTATGATTATAAATACGATAACAGGTTGTTATAAGTTATAATGTATCGTGGTATATTATATGATATATCGTGGTATATTATACGATTTTTAAAAAGATAACATTATAGATAATTATAATTTAGTATTTAGATTTTTTTTTAATAGGAATTTACTTGATAGGAAATAAATTTTTTTATATGCATCATTTGCATTTATTGAAGCAAGTTACTACTTATTCATGTTTGTTTGCGTCCATTTGTTTGATCTAAATCTAACTTTAAATATATAATAGAAAAAATTTTTTTCTTTTATTTTTATATGTATTATCAAAATAACAAATTTAAAATAAAATTTTATCTAAGCCAAACCTTATTTTACATAATTTGTTCTAACCTAATCTAAATTTCTGTTACTTGTACCATATACAATATATTGAATTAACATAATTCTTCAACAAAAGCACCTTTGAATCAGTAATAAAAACCACAAATTTATTTATTTTGCAAAAAATGATTACAAAATTATTTTAGCAGAAACATTTGAAAAGAACCATAGAGCCAAAATTTGCCCGTGAGGAAACCGTTTAAAATCGGTTTATTTTTATCGGTTTATATTACTAGACCTGCTGAATATAAAGCTTACCGTTAAAACACCGTTCTTTGACATTCCGATTTAAAACTTCAAAAACTTAGTGAAGTCAAAAAACTTCAAAAACTTAGTAAAGTTTTTTCTCAATAATGTTTTTTGTTTCAACGACACTACTTAAAAAATGATCATACAAAATTTGACAGAAAAATTTTAATTTTAAAATTATACAGAATGAAAAAAAATTTTTTTAAATTTGTTTGAGATCCCTAAAGCTTTCTCTTTAACAACTTTATAATAAAATATTTTGTGATATTTTGTTACTAAATTATCGTATAACTATTATCATTTCAAATGATAATAGTTATTTTTACCATCATTTCAGAGATTAAAATGTTTTTTAAATTGCTCTGAAATTGTGTAGTAAAAATTATTAGAGTTTATGCTACAGTTATTATTTAACTGCAATATAAACTTTAATGAACTATTTATAATTAAAGAAGCGAAGCTATTGATGTGGCACGAGCGTTATCGAGTCAACCAGTTTGATTAAATTGCTTTATTACCATCGCCGAAGTTATTAGATACTCTAGATACATTATATGCTGAATAATTAACTTAATAATCTTTAAACCATCATGTTAAATTGACCTAATATATAATTCTTATGATAAATTGAGAGATATGCATATACATGCGTTAATATATACCGCATTTGCCAGGCATAATCGAGCCTATGACTGTCATGTGTGTCGAGATGTACTTGGATGGATAGTGTGCTAGTTTTACTAGGTCGTGCAGGCACGGCGTATACCTGCTTCGCACGGCCCCGTGAATGGATCTCCATGCATAGGAGAGATCCGCCGGGAAAGGATTAAATCGTATTCTCACAGCTTATCAGCATCTTTGAGAGGTCTTTCCAAACACAACATCAGTATGATATTATAGAATCGTATTACGGTATCTTTATTGTAATGATTCTGCTCCTTTTGTAACAAGTGTCATTTATAATAAACGTATATAAACGTATCTACTAATGTAAATATGTAATGTTTATCTGAATTAAAATTTTCTAGTGTTATTTTTAATTATTGTAAAACTTATGTGTAATATTTTATAGATAAATTCATATGATTTATATGACATTATTTAAATATTGATATATTTTACACGGTCCCAAAAATTTCCGAACTTTCTTCGTATACGGACAGTATTAGTGACATCATCAATATAAATAAGGTTGCTATCTTCATTGAAATTTCGTTCACAAATTCTGTAAGTTGAATTGAAATCCCTCTAACGACTATTTTATCACAAGTATAAAACCGATAATACCTTTGTGACACACGTCGAAAATTCATGATGGAGCAAAGAGTAAATATTAAATTCTGTGTGAAATGAAGCATTTGCTGGCAAGAATTGGTCGGGTTTGTCCTCAATACCGAGCGCAAGGCAGCTGGTCATTTCTGCATGACAATGCTCCGGCTCACAAATACATCACCGTGCGTAAATTTCTCCTTTCAAATTAGTCGTAGTCCATGATCATCCTCCGTATTCATGAAATTTGGCACTATGTGACTGTTTTTTGTTCCCGAAGCTAAAATGAAGCTGAAGGGAAAGCAATTCGAAACTATTTTGAACATTTAGAAGGCTTCAACCGAGGCCATTTCGACCATTCAAAAAAGAGACTTATTGTTAGCGTAATTTTCTAAAATATATGACTATTGTAAACAATATTTTCCTTCGAAAGGGATATTTTGAATGATTATAAACATTTATAATTATTACCTTACAGAATAAATTTTAATGAAAATTCGGAAACTTGTGGGACAGACCGTGTAAATAATGAAATTTAAGATAATTTAAATAAAGATAAAAATTATATATAAGAATTATAAAGCAATTGGTAATGATAAAATTAATAAACATAATAACTAAAACGAAAATAATTATTTAATTATTTTTAAAACCACATTTTTATTTAAAAAAATATGATTTAAAGAATAATATTTAAAGGAAACATTTTTTTGCATTCAAGAAAAATAAACAAATATGTAATGTTTATCTGAATTAAAATTTTCTAGTGTTATTTTTAATTATTGTAAAACTTATATGTAATATTTTATAGATAAATATGACTATCATTTAAATATTGATACATTTTACACGATCCCAAAAGTTTCCGAACTTCAAATATCTTAATTTTGTTATTTAAAAATAACTACGAGGGTAAGTCAAAAATTATCTACACTTCTGTTTTCACAATTTTTCCATAAAAGTAGGGGTTCAACAAGTACATTATTTTCTACATAGTCTCCTTGCTTTTCGATACACTTGGTCCAACGATCCACAAGCTTTTGTATTCCCTCTAGGAAGAAGGTTTTTGGTTGGTCGCGCATTTATGCACCACTTCCTATACCCCGATTCTGTAACTCTTAACGACAATTCGGTATCGTTATATTGTCGTTACGCAGCTTTTTTACCATACAAAATATCTGCGCAACTACAGTATAACGATACTGATACTGTCGTTATCCCTATCACTTTATTATCAGCCAGGGTACCGATTCTGTAACTCCTAACGATAGTGTCGGTATCGTTATACTGTCGTTGCTCAGATATTTTGTATGATAAAAAAACTGCGCAACGACAATATAACGATACCGAATTGTCGTTGAGAGTTACAGAATCGGGGTACAGCAAGCGGTACATAAATGGCTGCGCGACCAATCAAAAACCTTCTTCCTGGAGGAAATACAGAAGCTTGTGAATCGCTAGACCAAGTGCATTGAAAAGCCAAGGAGACTATGTAGAAAAATGATATACTTGTTAAACTCCTACTTTTATGGAAAAAATTGTGGAAACAAAAGTGGTGTAGATAATTTTTTACTTATCCTCGTATTTGTGTGAACTGCTACGTCACGTCATTTATATATGAATGATATTTTTGTTCCCCAAAGTTCTATGACAAAATAACTAAAAAATTTAATTGCTATTTTAAATATATTAAACAATAATATTTTTACTTAAAATATATTAATATTTTATAGCAATGAAATAAATTATAAAAGAAAATATTAATATAAATCGACGATTCAAATAATTAAGATGAGAATAAGTGATCAATGTGGTGATTTTTGGTGCTTGATAATATTTATGAATTTTCCAATTCAAGCAAACTATTTTGTCGATCCTAAACACAACTCTAAACTGAATCCGAAATATGATATTAAATCATATTTTTTTCACAATTAAATTGACAAGCAATTTAATAATTTTGATGCTAGTGAACATCTTTTAAATGTAGAATAGCTTATTGCGAAAAATATTAGATCTCAGGATTTGTAGCCTGGACTTCCTTGTTATCCGAGCAAGGAATCTTATCATTTGACTATCGAAGCATATGGTAATATTTATTGCAATAACCAGTAACTTTAGAAAGAATATCTTTTTCAGGCATCAAATATAGATAAACATTAATATAAATTGACCATGAAAAGTTTATCTTGCTTGTGATATTACTCCGGATTTAGTTTAGAGCTGTGTTTTAAGACCGATAAATTGGTGCACAGTTTGCTTGAATTGAAAATTGTAAGATTCACACATAAATATTATTAAGCACCAAGAATCGTTTTGATCACATTAGCCTATTCTTAGCTTACAATTAGTTACATAAAAGAAAACGGTATGATTTTTTTATGATATGTTGTACTTCAAATATTTATGATTAATTCTCTGTATTCTTAACACTTAATTTAAATAATTTTAACATTCATTTGCGCTAATCTTCCTTTACAATGTATTTGTTATGTGATCATATAATCACATTACAGAAAACAAATGATAAAAAGAAGTTACATGTATTTATAGCTGCCACTAACGCAATCATATAATAATTGTATTCTATCAATGTGTCATTAGAATAAGAATTGGAACTAAGAGATAGTGTTAAAAATAAATAACATCTGACAATAACGTGTTAAGAATTGAAGATTCATAGTTAAATATCATTGTCGTGTTCATGTAATACTGAACAATTGATATATTTTGTGCCAATTATAAGTAATTTGTTACCGGTGATCTACTTAATTGTTATAAGATCTCGTACAAAATCACGAGTTTTTGGTCCTCGATGAAATTGGCTGAAACTTTAGTATGTTATAATTCTTGACTCACTGATCAAGTTTTCTGAGGCACAAAAGTTTAAAATGACTAGTTTTTTTGTTACAGTCGTTTGAAGTGTTGTATTTTATTACAACTATTATATCATTATTTATGTTCCAAATCAGTTTTTTTTTAATATATCCAAAATTTAGATAATAATATGCGATTTACTTACACATTTAAGAATAGTGTATGTGGGAGAATATTTTTGTGTGGGAGGAAGGGGGGGGGGTAGTATGCTATTATTTAGCTTTAAAAGCATATATTTCAAACAATGGGGTAACAATAAGTAATATATATTTTATTTTTACCCACTTATTCAGCCACCCATTGACTTACACACACACACACGCACGCACGCACGCACGCACGCACGCACGCACGCACGCACGCACGCACGCACGCACGCACGCACGCACGCACACACACACCCACACACACACACACACACACACACACACACACACATACACACACACACACACAAATCATATT